TCCTCTCTCACCTGTCCCCTCTCACCTGTCCTCCTCTCTCACCTGTCCCTCTCTCACCTGTCCCCTCTCACCTGTCCTCCTCTCTCACCTGTCCTCTCTCACCTGTCCTCTCTCACCTGTCCTCCTCTCTCACCAGTCCTCTCTCACCTGTCCTCCTCTCTCACCTGTCCTCTCTGACCTGGCCTCCTCTCTCTGTGCTGATTGGCTCTCCTCTCGTCCAATCAGAGCCAGCTGCTGGAGTCGGCCCTCAGGATGTTTACAGGCCACGCCCCCCTGACCTCTGACCTCGCAGCCTCAGGTCAGCCCACCTGTCTGCAGGTGACTCACCTGGACTCTGCAGGTATATTTAGATTGTCCCTAACCATAAAATACCAAATATCTTTCAAGAAATTCAAAAGAGTTATTTTATTCGTCTTCCTGCTTTATTTCTTCTCTCTCTCAGAAAACATCCTTAGCAACCAGCAGCAGATCTCCACGGCAACCAGAGCTGCAGCATCCTCCCTGGAGACGGTCGCTACGGCAACACCTGGCCGTGACCAACGACCAGAGCAGACCAGGTGAGGGGGCGGGGTTAATAATATATTAATAAAGCACCTGTCAGTCTCTCAGTCCTCCGTCTCACATCTAAACTCTTCTTCAGACCGGATCCCAGAGGTCCTCCCAGGGTTCACCTGCACTCCTCGTCCTATGAGAGCGTTCGGGCGGTGAGGAGAGCGAATGAGACGCTGAGGGAGATGAGCCGCCTGAAGACGGAGACGAAGACGCTGCTGAGGGTGAGACTCAGAGGACAGAATCAGCATATTAGTACCGTATTGACCCGAATATAAGACAGAGTTTTTTCCTAGAAAGAAATCTGAAAAAGGGAGTCGTCTTATATTCGGGGTCTAGACTTTTCGTTGTAATTACACAGTCACACCACCAGATGGCGCCACACGAGTGTTCCTCCAAGAGAGACACCGTCTTAACCTGTTTTTCCCGTATTTTTCCTGAAACTGTGTCTCAGGGCTTCTTAAAATGTAATAAACTATTAATGTGTCATACTCACTTAACGGGAAGAAACTCAGCTAACTGACGATACCAACCATTTTTACCAAAACACAAGTCTCACAAGAAGCTAAATGAGCCCTGAGCGAAAAAATGCTAACGCACTTAGCACAGAACTCTAGGGCTGCGTCTCAGGTCGGTTATTTTCATTTCCTCGCTCGTCAGTCCTCGGTCTCACCGGAAGTTGATTTGTCTGCACCATCTTGAGTAGCGTCCCATGGCGCTTATTTCTGCCGGAGGAGCGAGGATCGAGGAGCGATAATGGAGGAGCTATAACCGAGGAACCACCAGACCATCCTTCGATGAAATCCTCAGACACTCGCCCCGCCCCCTTACTGTGTATCGCTCACTGATTGGACGATGCAGTGCATGCACTGATCTGATGCTTCTTGACATGAGAGCAGAGTTTCCCAGCGGAGTGGAGAAAACACATGAAACTCACGGGACTCACTCCTCAGTTTATACACCATAGTCCAGCACAGGTCAAAAGGTCACAGAGACTTTTCCTGGCCTCAAGTGAGAAACAGGACTTGTTTCTGAAAAAGAAACCTAGTCTAACCCTCAGCTTTTTAAGCAGATTAATGACCTGAAGTTTAAAAGAGAGACAGTCATCAAGCCAGATACCAAGGTATTTGTAACAGGTAACCACTTCGAGTACTTGTCCTTGCATAGTAACAATATCTAAAACAGGCTCTGGTGTCTTTTTAGCTTTTGAAAAGAGCATTACCTTGGTTTTCTCAACATTTAAAAAAAGCTTTAGCTCAGAGAGCTGAGTCTGAATAATGTTAAAAACAGCCTGTAATTTAACACCAGCCTCCTTAATGGAGGGACATGCACAGTACATCACGGTGTCATCCGCATAGAAATGTAAAGTAGCTTCATCCACATTTTCACCTAAACTATTGATGTAGATGGAGAATAAAAGTGGACCTAAAACAGAACCTTGAGGAACACCATTAGCAATGTTTAACCACTCAGAAGACAGCCCATCAAAATGAACACATTGGGACCTTTCAGAGAGGTAGTTGCGATGATCGACGGTAGGGCTGTGCGATTATGGCAAAAATCATAATCACGATTATTTGGGTTAATAATTGATATCACGATTATTAAATACGATTATTCATTGACTTTGAAAAAATCCATTTATTGAACTTTAAAACAAAAACAAATAATAATTTGAACAGTATCTTTTTAACTGTTGATTACACTGAGCGTATAATTCAACTGAAAAACCAATACAAAAATAAATAAAATAAATGATACATTTATATTTACATTTAAATAAATAATATCAAAATAATAAATACCAATAAACAAGATCAACAAATATTTTGGAGCGCACTTCCACAAGCTACTAAACATATATAAATATGATAAATACAAATACATGAGACCAAAATTAATTAGATCAAATATGTTGCAGTGCACTGCAAAGCAAAATAATTGTTTTTTTCGATTATGTTGTTTTCGTAATTGTGGCAGGCCAAAATTGTAATTGCGATTAAAATACGATTAATTGCACAGCCCTAATCGACGGTATCAAACGCTTTGGAAAGGTCAATAAATAGAGCTGCACAACTCTGCTTATTATCTAAAATACTTGTAATGTCATTCACCACTTTCATTGTGGCAGTGATGGTGCTATGTTGCTTTCTGAAGCCTGACTGATGTTTAGACAGGATGTCATTTTTACATAAAAACTCCTTTACCTGTTCACTCACTAGGCGTTCAAGAACCTTAGCCAGAACTGACAATTTAGAGATTGGCCTATAATTATTTAAAATAGTTGCTTCCCCTCCTTTTAGTAGAGGCAGGACATCAGCTGACTTTCATACTTTAGGAATTGCATTTGTGCTGAGGGAGAGGTTAAAAAGAGAAGTGAGAGGTGGAGCAATAAAATCTGCAGCTATCTTTAAAAAGAAAGGTTCCACGTTGTCCGGGCCAGCCGGTTTCTTAGGATCTAACTTAGATAAAGCTTCATGAACAACATTTACAGTAAAAGGAGTAAAACTGAAAGGGTTTTCCAGACCACATTGTTCAGAGTCACGGACTGTGGTGTTCACAGAAGCAGAGTTAGTCACAGAATCAAACCGAGAGCCACAGGACACAAAATGCTTATTAAAACAATTGAACATAGTGGCCCTGTCCGATATAGAGCCAGATGCTGTGGTAAGGCACGGAGGTAGCTCATTACGGATCTCACCGGTGGATATCGATTTTATGGCTTTCCAACATTTCCTAGGATTATTTAGGTTTTCTGTAGTAACTGACAAATAGTACTTCGACTTAGCACTTTTGACATGTGAAGTGAAGCTTCAGTAAATGTGTACTAACAGAGGCGGGGGTGTTTGTGAAAATAACGGGGACAGAGCTGCTGTCAGACATCAGCTGTGCGGCTTCATCACAAACGGACGTCGCTTCACGTGACGCTCCGGAGGAAAGGACGTCCCATTGCTCTTAAAACTCATTTCCCTGCTTCTCGTGGTTTCCTTGCGTCTCTCCATGCTTCCCTGGTGGGAGAGACGCAGGGAAACGACGCAAGTGAGGGACGCAAGGAATCCATTTAATCGACCTGAGATGCAGCCTCTGTATAAATACTTTATTACTTATCGTAACTGCACAAACAATCCATAGGTTAATCCAATGTGTCTGTCACTTTGAACAAATTATTGATAATCCATAATTCAATTTTTATGTAAAAGACTGACTTTTCACATTAGCTGCTAATGGTAGCCACCAGAGTGTATGACAGCTTCCTGTTTTGGGTATTCTGGCTACGCATCACTCTCACTCCTTATTTGGTAACGGTTGGTGTGTATGTGGAACCTCCCCTCGATTCTATTGGCTCTAGCGGTTAAAAAGAGATGTCAATCATCAAAATCGAGCAAGGGGGGCCAGAGATAGGTCAAATCCACCCAAATGACCCCAGAAGTGTTTTTTTTTTCTATATCTCTCTAAAAAGGTCAAATGTCACTTGTTTTGCATCAATCTTGATACAGGGTACTTATTATATGTTATAGTTTGGATTCCTAAAGCTTTTAGTCTACCATCCCATCATTCAAGGGTGGTTTTCACTATAAGTAATGTGGTTTGTTTTTTGGACGGACACTATAATTTACATTTTTTTACTATGTAAAATCTGAATTTACTTTAAAATAAAAACATCTATATTGATTCTGACTCTTCTACATACAACTCACAGGTTTATCATTGCTTTGAGAAAAAAGATGATTAATTTAGCCCTTTTAGAAGTGAAGTTATAGTAATTTGTTCTGGGAATGTCATTTTCGAGCCTGAGACCTGAAAAACAGGCTCAGGGCTCAACAGGTTAAAGTAACAGTACAACAGGAGAGAGAGCGACGGAGAGACACAGAGACCAACTCCAACACAGTGGATCCAAAGTAGGCGAGTTAATAAACAAGAGGCGAAGTTATAATGACCATTTTAAGATTATGATGAACAACGAAGTCATCAAACAACTGTCGAGCAGCAAAGAAACATGGAGTTACTGAGAGTAACGTTAGAAGATGGCGAGCCCAAAAAGACCAGTCAGAGAAAAGCTTTCCACAAAGACTTGGTCTTCAAAAAGGTATTTTTCCAAAAATGAGTCTTGAAAAAGAGGGTCGTCTTATATTCGGGTCAAACTGAAGCTCTTTATTAAACCTTCCCGTCCTGCAGCAGCCAGAAGACTCTCTGAAAACCAGTACACCTGGACCAGACCAGCACCAGGACCAGCAGACTCAGACCCTCCAACCTGAGGACCAGAACCAACAGAACCCAGACCCTTTACAGTTCTGCCAGCCCCGGGCCAGACTCTCCCGGTCCAAGTCCCATCAATCCATGTCCAATGGAAGCACTCTCCAACAAGTCCAGTCCCATCAAGGTCTTTTTAAACCAACCCAGTCCCAACAAAACCACCTACAGTCCTCACAAACCCAGGCCAGACACTCCCAGTCCCACCATACCCAGTCCCATCATACCCAGTCCCATCATACCCAGTCCAATCAAAGTCCTTCTCAACAAGTCCAGTCCCAAGAAAAAACAACTCTACCAAACCAGTTACCGTCCCATCAGTCCTCCCATCAGCCCCAGTCCTCCCATCAGTCCTCCCATCAGCCCCAGTCCTCCCATCAGCCCCAGTCCACCCATCAGTCCACCCATCAGCCCTCCCATCAGCCCCAGCCCTCCCATCAGCCCCAGTCCTCCCATCAGCCCCAGTCCACCCATCAGTCCACCCATCAGCCCTCCCATCAGCCCCAGCCCTCCCATCAGCCCCAGCCCTCCCATCAGCCCCAGTCCACCCATCAGTCCACCCATCAGCCCTCCCATCAGCCCCAGCCCTCCCATCAGCCCCAGTCCTCCCATCAGCCCCAGTCCACCCATCAGTCCACCCATCAGCCCTCCCATCAGCCCCAGCCCTCCCATCAGCCCCAGTCCTCCCATCAGCCCCAGTCCACCCATCAGCCCTCCCATCAGTCCACCCATCAGCCCTCCCATCAGCCCCAGTCCTCCCATCAGTCCTCCCATCAGCCCCAGTCCTCCCATCAGCCCCAGTCCTCCCATCAGCCCCTCCCAGTCTGGAAGAGGCGGGTCCAGTCCCCGTTAGAGGAGGCGGGTCTGGTTCTGCGTCAGGTCCGCAGACAGAAGAAGAATCTGGAGGAGAACCTTGAAGCTCTGCTGAGAACCAGAACCGGAGAAGTTCTGCACGACCAGCTGGAGGCGCTGGCTGCTAACAGGTAGCTAATGCTAATGCTAACTCTGCATGGTGAATAAGTGAGGAAGCTAACATGTAGCTAATGCTAACTCTGTGTTTGCAGAGACTCGACGCAGGAAGTCCGCATCAAGAAGACGGTGGACGCCTGGATCAACTCGCTGACCCGAGACATCCAGGTACGCTACACCTGCACACCTGTACACCTGGAGCCTACCTTACCCACGATACAACACTAACTTCTTCTTCTTCATCTGAACCTGGAGCCTACATTACCCACAATGCAATGCTCTCTTCTTCTCTCCAGGCCGAGATGTACTCAGAAGAAGCTGCGATGACATCACAGCAGCAGGTTGCAGGTAGCTCCGCCCCCACAGGTAGGGCGAGGCCAGTGAGCGCGCTCAAAGGAACAGGAAGTCAGCCTGCAGGGGGGAGAGTGAGAACAGGAAGTCAGGCGGCGGGGACAGAAAGCAGAGCGCGGGGGGCGGAGCCTGATGCTTCCTCAGGTGAGGCGTACCTGAGCCGTCTGTACGGCAGGGCGGCTTACGAGGGTCAGAGGCGGAGCCTGAAGAAAAGCCCCTACCTGCGCCTCAGCTCACCTGCCCCCCCGCCCAGCAGGAAGCCCCGCCCCCGGCTGCTGGAGACCGTCACAGGTGAGACTCACCTGCGTTATATATCGTCTTACGATGTCTTTATTAAGGGATCAGAAATATATTATTATTACCTGCAGGTGTGAAGGTGAAGTCCTGTAAGACTCAGACCTGTTTGGCTCCGCCCCTCACGCCAGCAACTGGACGACCTCATGACATCATCATCAGCCCCTCCCTCCTGACCTCAGGTGACCTCACACTGACCCCCGTCGCCATGGCAATCCCTCTAGGTCAGTACACTCAGGATAAGGAGTCTGAAAGACTACATTATCCACAAACCCCTCTGGGACTGAGACTTTTATAGCATTTTAAATATAGTTATTATTTCAAGCTTTTTTAAAGTATTTTAGATTTTATTTTGAAGGGTTTTTTAAAGAGTTGGGTGGAGTGGTGGGGGAAGCCCCTAGACAGACCTGGTAAGCCCAAACGTGTAGTGCGGGTGAACTGGGAACGTCTGGAGGTGTCCCAAGTCCAGGAGGCCTTCAACTCATCCCTGTGGAGTCTGGGGACATTGAACCAGAGTGGGCGGTGTTCAAAGCCTCTATTGCCGAAGCCACGGCGGGGAGCTGTGGTCTCAAGGTCTTAGGTGCCTCAAGGTATCCCTCGAACTTCCTGGTGAACACCAGTGGTCAGGGAAGCCGTCCGACTGAAGGGGGAGGCCTTCAGGGATACGTTATCCTGGGGGAGACATGTTATCCTGGGGGAGTCCCGAGGCAGTTGCAAGGTACCGACAGGCCGAAGGATAGCAGCCTCAGCCGTGGCCGAGGCAAAGCAGTGGTGTGGGAGAAGTTCGGAGAAGGACTTGAGGGACTGTCATGGTTGAAACGTCTCATCAACATTGCATGGAAGTCGGAAACAGCACCGAAGGAGTGGCAGACCGGGGTTGTGGTTCCCCTTTTCAAAAAGGGGGATCAGAGGGTGTGTGCCAATTACAGAGGCATCACACTACTCAGCCTCCCCGGGAAAATGTACTCTAAGGTACTGGAAAGGAGGGTCCGGCCGATAGTCGAACTTCAGATTGAGGAGGAACAATGCGGATTCCGTCCTGGTCGTGGAACGACGGATCAGCTTTTTACTCTCGCAAGGATCCTGGAGGGGGCCTGGGAGTACGCTTATCTGGTCTACATGTGTTTTGTAGACTTGGAGAAGGCGTATGACCGGGTTCCCAGGGAGTTACTGTGGGAGGTGCTGCAGGAGTATGGGGTGAGGGGGTCTCTACTCAGGGTCATCCAATCTCTTTACTCCCAAAGCGAGAGCTGTGTCCGCGTCTTCGGCAGTAAGTCGGACCCATTTCCGGTGAGGGTTGGCCTCCGCCAGGGCTGCGTTGTGTCACCAATCCTGTTTGTGATATTCATGGACAGGATTTCAAGTCGTGGGGGAGGGGGTCTGCAGTTCGGTGGGTTCTCAGCAGGAAACCGATGGACTGTCCTCTCCAAGTAGGGAATCAGTCCTTACCCCAAGTGAAGGAGTTAAAGTATCTCGGGGTCTTGTTCTCGAGTGAGGGAACAATGGAGCGTGAGATGGACCGGAGAATCGGAGCAGCGGGAGCGGTACTGCAGTCACTTTACCGCACCGTTGTGATGAAGAGAGCTGAGCCAGAAGGCAAAGCTCCCCCCCAGATCTGGAGCCCTAGGCGACCGCCTATGTCGCCTATGCCAAAAATTGGCCCTGCCAGTACATACAGTGGCAATGTCTCAAGATTTAGCAAAAAATACACCTTTATTGAAAATACAGTAACACAAATACTACAAATCCACATCACAAACAATCAAAATTGAAAAAGGGTCGCCACTTATTATTATTTTAATAAAAAAATAAAAAGTAAAACAAATATTTTATTTTTGTTATTTTTTGGGTACCTGGCTGGCGCCCCCTAGCAGCGGCGCGCATATTTCAGCAGCGGCGCTGCGCCGCCACTATTTGTATATAGGGGAAACACTGATATCTCTACCCAGGACCAGGTGGAGGGATCATATCTCTATCTAGGACCAGGTGGAGGGATTATATCTCTACCTAGGACCAGGTGGAGGGATTATATCTCTACCTAGGACCAGGTGGAGGGATCATATCTCTATCTAGGACCAGGTGGAGGGATCATATCTCTATCTTGGACCAGGTGGAGGGATCATATCTCTATCTAGGACCAGGTGGAGGGATCATATCTCTACCCAGGACCAGGTGGAGGGATTATATCTCTACCCAGGACCAGGTGGAGGGATCATATCTCTACCCAGGACCAGGTGGAGGGATCATATCTCTACCTAGGCCTAGGACCAGGTGGAGGGATTATATCTCTACCCAGGACCAGGTGGAGGGATCATATCTCTACCCAGGACCAGGTGGAGGGATCATATCTCTACCCAGGACCAGGTGGAGGGATCATATCTCTATCTAGGACCAGGTGGAGGGATTATATCTCTACCTAGGACCAGGTGGAGGGATTATATCTCTACCCAGGACCAGGTGGAGGGATCATATCTCTACCCAGGACCAGGTGGAGGGATCATATCTCTGCCTAGGACCAGGTAGAGGGATTATATCTCTTCTCTGGCCTTGGAGCTCCTTGAATCCCCCAGTCAGAGCTGGTTGAAAGGAAAGGGATGTTTGGTGGAACTGCTACCTCCACGACCCGACCACGGATAAGTGGGAGAAGATGGATGGATGGGTTTTTAAAAGTATTTCATATTTTATTTTGAAGGACGTCGCAGGATGGACTCTTCTTCCAGGCGTGTCCCTGAGAGTCAACAGGAAGTGACATCACCACCCAGAGCTCCTCCCCGAGAGGTTGCCGTAGGTGACGGAGTGCCTGAGCTGCAGGTGGAGGAGCCGCCGTCTACAGCTGAAGCTCCTCCTCTTCCTCCGTCTACAGCTGAAGCTCCTCCTGTTCCTCCGTCTACAGGTGAAGCTCCTCCTCTTCCTCCGTCTACAGGTGAAGCCCCTCCTCTTCCTCCTCCTGCTGAAACCTCAGAAGAAGAGGAGGAGGAGGAAGACATATTTCCTGGAACTCACTTCCTGTCTGTCGCTGACGTCGTCCAGGTAAACAACTTCTTCTTCTTCAGTTTGTGTGATTCATTTATAAACCATATGAAGTTAACCCTCCCTCTCTCCCCCCTGTGTGCAGCCGGAGGAGGGGAGTGCAGTGGGAGAGGAGGTCCTGCAGCTGGAGGGAGGCGCCCCCCCCCCCTTCGGACCAGTACCAGGGTCCAGTGTTCCCCCCAGAGCCTCTCCCCTCCCTCCCCCCCCAGGAAGAAGCCTCTCTACTGGGTCTACGGCTGCAGAGTGACGGGCTGGAGCAGCACCTGGTGGAGTGGTGAGGAGCACATCTTAAATATAAATAATTAAAGATATATATATATACAGTATATTTATTATTGTTTAAGTTATTAATATAACTCTGTTTGTATGTTTTAATATGTTTTAATATCTGTGTGTCAGGGTGGAGCAGCAGCTGATGTCCAGGATGATCTCAGAGATGTACCGCCCCCCTCTCACTGACCCCGCCTACAACCTACCCACCGACCAATCAGAGTGCGAGGAGCAGAGCTTCACCTCAGACACTGGTGAGCAGACGCACCAATCACAGCAGAGCTCTGCATGTTCCTGCCCCCTCGTTGGTCCAACGTTTCTTATCATCGTGTGTGTGTGTGTGTGTATCAGGTCTACAGCTGTGTGTGGTCTCTGGTGTCTCCGTGGACTCGGTTCTGGTCCGACAACTGGTCACTGAGGTTCTGAGCGAGCAGATCGCCCTCCTGCTGGGGGAGAGAGACCCAGGGGAACCAGAACCAGAAACAAGACCAGAACCAGGAGCCGGTCCAGAACCCTGTCAGCAGGTACAGAACCTGGTCCAGGATGAGTGGTCTGGTGTATAGTCTGATGTTTGTCAGTGTTATTGTGTAACCTGTGTTCTCTGCAGGACTCCAGACCCCCTCTGGTTCTGACCCCTGCTCCGACCCCCCCGCTAAGCCCCGCCCCTTCCAGCAGAGAGACTCCACCTCTGGCCACGCCCCCTCCCTCTGAACCAACCAGCATCCTGAGCCAAGAGTCCCCTCAGCCAATCATAGCGCCAGGTCAGAGTCTGCTGAGTGAAGTATTGACTCGTTAACTAGAGAGGTTTAAAGTATTTACATGTACCTGCAGCTAGTTCAACTAGTTATATCACTGGTTAGATTAACCTGCTCATACTCAACATGTACCAGCAGCTAGTTAAACTAGTTTTATCACTGGTTAGATTAACCTGCTCATACTCAACATGTACCAGCAGCTAGTTAAACTAGTTATATCACTGGTTAGATGAACCTGCTCATACTCAACATGTACCAGCAGCTAGTTAAACTAGTTATATCACTGGTTAGATTAACCTGCTCATATTCAACATGTACCAGCAGCTAGTTAAACTAGTTATATCACTGGTTAGATTAACCTGCTCATACTCAACATGTACCACTAGCTAGTTAAACTAGTTATATCACTGGTTAGATTAACCTGCTCATACTCAACATGTACCTGCAGCTAGTTAAACTAGTTATATCACTGGTTAGATTAACCTGCTCATATTCAACATGTACCAGCAGCTAGTTAAACTAGTTATATCACTGGTTAGATTAACCTGCTCATACTCAACATGTACCAGCAGCTAGTTAAACTAGTTATATCACTGGTTAGATTAACCTGCTCATACTCAACATGTACCAGCAGCTAGTTAAACTAGTTATATCACTGGTTAGATTAACCTGCTCATACTCAACATGTACCAGCAGCTAGTTAAACTAATTATATCACTGGTTAGATTAACCTGCTCATACTCAACATGTACCAGCAGCTAGTTCAACTAGTTATATCACTGGTTAGATTAACCTGCTCATACTCAACATGTACCAGCAGCTAGTTAAACTAATTATATCACTGGTTAGATTAACCTGCTCATACTCAACATGTACCAGCAGCTAGTTAAACTAGTTATCTCACTTGTTAGATGAACCTGCTCATACTCAACATGTACCAGCAGCTAGTTAAACTAGTTATCTCACTGGTTAGATTAACCTGCTCATACTCAACATGTACCTGCAGCTAGTTAAACTAGTTATCTCAGTGGTTAGATTAACCTGCTCATACTCAACATGTACCAGCAGCTAGTTCAACTAGTTATATCACTGGTTAGATTAACCTGCTCATACTCAACATGTACCAGCAGCTAGTTAAACTAGTTATCTCACTGGTTAGATTAACCTGCTTATACTCAACATGTACCAGCAGCCAGTTAAAGTGAGAGCAGTGTTTCTGATTGGTTCTCTGTCTGTGACCTCAGAGCCTGTAGCCACGCCCCCTTCCAGCCCAGAGCCCGCCCCCTCGGTAGGAAGTCCTGAAGCCCCGCCCCCTCCCGCCTGCGAAGATGCTGAGCTGCCATTGGACGAGGAGAGAGCCGAGGAGACACACCCACATCTGTACGATCTCTGTATGAAAACAAATATTCCAGGTGCATTGTGGGAAATGTAGTTTCTGGTGTTTCTGACTCCTCTCTCCTCCTGCAGGGAGTCAGAAGCAGCAGGGGAGGAGCCTCCTCTCTCCCCCCCCTCCTCTCCCCACCTGTAGCTCCTCCCCCGCATGTAGCTCCTCCCCCACATGTAGCTCCGCCCCCTCCAGCTGCTCCTCAGTGACTGAAGCAGCGCTGAGACACATCTCAGAGGGGGAGCTGCTGCTGAGCCCCAACAACAGAACAGGTAACAGCTCACCTTTACCTGAAGAGAGATACCTTTACCTGAAGAGAGACACCTTTACCTGAAGAGACACCTTTACCTGACAGAGACACATTTACCTGACAGAGACACCTTTACCTGAAGAGAGACATTTACCTGACAGAGACACCTTTACCTGAAGAGAGACATCTTTACCTGACAGAGACACATTTACCTGAAGAGACACCTTTACCTGACAGAGACACATTTACCTGACAGAGACACCTTTACCTGAAGAGAGACATTTACCTGACAGAGACACCTTTACCTGAAGAGAGACATCTTTACCTGACAGAGACACATTTACCTGAAGAGAGACATCTTTACCTGACAGAGACACATTTACCTGACAGAGACACCTTTACCTGACAGAGACACATTTACCTGAAGAGACACCTTTACCTGAAGAGACACCTTTACCTGAAGAGAGACACCTTTACCTGAAGAGACACATTTACCTGAAGAGACCCATTTACCTGAAGAGACACCTTTACCTGACAGAGACACATTTACCTGAAGAGACACCTTTACCTGACAGAGACACATTTACCTGAAGAGACACCTTTACCTGACAGAGACACATTTACCTGAGAGAGACACATTTACCTGACAGAGACACCTTTACCTGACAGACACACCTTTACCTGACAGAGACATCTTTACCTGACAGAGACACATTTACCTGATGAGACACCTTTACCTGAAGAGACACCTTTACCTGAAGAGACACCTTTACCTGAAGAGTGACACCTTTACCTGACAGAGACCCATTTACCTGAAGAGAGACACATTTACCTGAAGAGACACCTTTACCTGAAGAGAGACACATTTACCTGACAGAGACTCATTTACCTGAAGAGAGACACCTTTACCTGAAGAGACACCTTTACCTGAAGAGAGACAGTATAAACCACTATACTAACCACTGTATATATATATATATATAACCCAGGGTTTCCGTTAGCCGGTAATTACCGGTTTCTAGCTGGTAAAATGTATTAAAAACCGGTAAATTCAAAACCTGCCGGTCAAAATGTCCGGTAATAATTAGGGATGCTCCGATCGATCGGCCGCCGGTCATTATCGGCTGATATTCACTCTTAATAGTTTGATCGGTGCTCTCTATAAAGGCCGATCAGGAGAGCTGGATCTGATCGATATGGACATAAATAGTGAAGTATAACCGGACGAGAGAGAGAGATCATGATCACCTGAAGCCCCGCCCACTGTTTAGCGAATGTTTCGATCTGTTACAATTATAAACTGAAGCAATATAAAAATGACTCCCATTAACTGAGTTCATCAGCATATCCGGTCCGAGTCCGGTGATTACCTGCTAACGGAAACTCTGCTACACAATTCTTATTATTATTATTATCGAAACATGACCAGTAAGTTTCTAATTTGTCCGGTAAAATAAATTCTGTCCGGTCATTTGACCAGCAAGAAAAGATCCTAGAAACCCTGATTACAATGCTTTATAACCGATTCTCGAGAGAGATGAGGAGCATTCTAGCATCTATCTCTCTCTCTCTCTCTCTCTCTCTCTCTCTCCTCTATCTCTCTCTCTCTCTCTCTCTCTCTCTCTCTCTCTCTCTCCCCCTCTCCCTCCCTCCTCCCTCCTCTCCCTCTCTCTCCTCAGAGGACGCCCTCCTCAGTTTCTCTCTGCAGGAGGCGGTGAGTTCTGTAGTTCATATTTAAACCTTTTATCATTATGTTAGAGGTACTTCCTGTGTCTGATGTCACTTCCTGTCCCCCCTCAGGACTCTGACCCCCCCAGTGAAGGTCAGGTGAGAGTTCCCGACCTCCTGATGACCCTGCTGAGTAACACACTCATAGAGGTACACACACACACTCACACACACACACACACACACACACACACACACACACACACACACACTCATTGAGGTACACACACACTCATTGAGGTACACACACACACAGACACTCATTGAGGTACACACACACAGACACTCATTGAGGTACACACACACACTCATTGAGGTACACACACACAGACAGACACACACAGACAGACAGACACTCATTGAGGTACACACACATACACATACACTCATTGAGGTACACACACACAGACACTCATTGAGGTACACACACACACACACACACTCATTGAGGTACACACACACACACACACACACTCATTGAGGTACACACACACACACACACACACACTCATTGAGGTACACACACACACACAGACACACACAGACAGACAGACACTCATTGAGGTACACACACACACACACACACACACTCATTGAGGTACACACACACACACAGACACACACAGACAGACAGACACTCATTGAGGTACACACACATACACTCATTGAGGTACACACACACAGACACTCATTGAGGTACACACACACACAGACACTCATTGAGGTACACACACACAGACACTCATTGAGGTACACACACACACACACAGACACTCATTGAGGTACACACACACACAGACACTCATTGAGGTACACACACACAGACACTCATTGAGGTACACACAGACACATACACAGACACTCATTGAGGTACACACACACAGACACTCATTGAGGTACACACAGACACATACACAGACACTCATTGAGGTACACACACACAGACACTCATTGAGGTACACACACACAGACACTCATTGAGGTACACACAGACACATACACAGACACTCATTGAGGTACACACACACACACACACAGACACTCATTGAGGTACACACACACAGACACTCATTGAGGTACACACACACAGACACTCATTGAGGTACACACACACAGACACTCATTGAGGTACACACACACACATTAAATGTAATTAAGTTTCCCTTTTAATTCTATTTTTAGTAATAATATATTGCTCGTCGCTCGGGTTCTGTATAAATAAAGTGTTGCTGTTCCTCCTGGGGGGGTTAGGAAGAGGAGGGGAGAGACCACAGGACTACAAAACCTCTCAGGACTACAAAACCTCTCAGGACTACAAAACCTCTCAGGACTACAAATCCCAGCAGCAGCCCGGCAGCCCGGGGGGGCCAAAGCTCACCTGGAGAGCTGAGTGCAGGTACACATTATTATATTTATTATTTATTATTAACAAACATTTGTTGTTTAATAATAATAATAACATGATGTCACATGACCTCCTGGGTCACATGACGTCTCTCTGTTTCCTGCAGGTGTGTCAGAGGTTGACCTCGAATCGACCAATCAGGGCTCAGCTGCCCCTGGCGACCTGACGCAGGAGCCAATCAGCATGCTGACCTCTGACCTGCAGAGACACCTGTACCTGACCCCTCCCTCTGCAGGTGAGACACACACACACACACACTCAGCACTACACACTGCAGTAACACAGTACAGTGGCTGCGTTTCACTTCTCTTATTTTTCATTTCCTCGCTCCTCGGTCCTCGGTCTCACCGGAAGTTGATTTGTCTGCGCCATCTTGAGTAGCGTCCCATGGCGCTTATTTCTGCCGGAGGACCGAGGAGCGAGGAGCGAGGAGCGATAATGGAGGAGCGATAACCGAGGAACCACCAGACCATCCTCCGATGAAATCCTCAGACACTCGCCCCGCCCCCTTACTGTGTATCGCTCACTGATTGGACGATGCAGCGCATGCACTGATCTGATGCTTCTTGACATGAGAGCAGTTTCCCAGCGGAGTGAAGAAAACACATGAAACTCACGGGACTCACTCCTCAGTTTATACTGTGTTTTGTTTCAATGAATGCATCATTCAGTTACAAATATGTGATATATCTGAACAACAAAGTGGACAAAAATCATTTTATTCATTTATTGGAAACATTTTCATGATCGCTTTTTCGTTTTACATTTTCATTTATTGTCATTTCCATTCAGTCAGTCATTAAGTGCTATTTAACATGTTAATGTGCTACATATCCACACAAACAAACTAAGTGTGCAATGATGAATGTTAATCTAACTGGGTTTTGATAGATAACATATCTCTTTTTCTTCTCTCAATTCTTTTATTTCTATTGTGCACTCTAATCAATATTAATCAAACTAATATTCGTTTATACATTTTAAGAATGGCGTTTATCTTTTTTGAGAATGAGTTCTTATTTTATTTAATGTATTTGGGTCTACAACAGATGATACAAATGTTTGTGTCAGTAAATGTGTACTAACAGAAGCGGGGGTGTTTGTGAAAACAACGGGGACAGAGCTGCTGTCAGACGATCAGCTGTGCAGCGTCATCACAAACGGACGTCGCTTCACGTGACGCTCCGGAGGAAAGGACGTCCCATTGCTCTTAAAACTCATTTCCCTGCTTCTCGTGGTTTCCTTGCGTCTCTCCATGCTTCCCTGGTGGGAGAGACTAGTCGCAGGGAAACTACGCAAGTGAGGGACGCAAGGAATCCATTTAACCGACCTGAGACGCAGCCATAAGAGGCTTCTCAATTCTTAAATTTCCCCTCCTCGACTCCTATCCTCGTGTCTTAGTCCCGCCCACAGGAGATGCGAGCGGAGGAGAGAGGAGGGGAACCGAGGAGAGAGGAGGGGAACCGAGGAGAGAGGAGGGGAGCCGAGGAGAGAGGAGGGGAGCCGAGGAGAGAGGAGGGGAACCGAGGAGAGAGGAGGGGAAGCAGCAGGCGGTTAGAGACATGAGAACTCCTCTCCTCTGAGCGGTCATTTTAAAGAGACGTCCATTAATGATGACAGGAGGCACAGCAGCCCTCTGTCTGATGGACAGATGTGTTCATGACCACTTATATATTTACTTTGATTCATTCACAGTGCGGTATAATGAGACAAGAACAGGCTACAGATGCAGACATATACACATAAATATATTTATATAAATATATACAATTTAAAGTATGAGAGCACTCTCATAATAACGTAACACTATCAGACTGGATATATCCCCCCCCCCTCTCTCTGGTCGCTGAAATGGGGAATT